GGAACTCTCTAAACTGGAAGGATTCTGTTCTCACCTGAGAAGAACTTATTTCTCCACAAAGCCCACCACATATATCTGTGGCTTGGACACCCAGGCTGTGGGAAAGACAGACTCTGAGAGTTTCTCCATGACTGCTCAAGAACAGCAGCAGCTCATTATCAATTTGGGTAAATTCGGAGACTGGTTTTTGTCACTCAGCCTGCCCTATTCCCTTCTTGTCTGTATCAACTGGCCAGCCCACCCTTAATGATGAACAATTTTTCATTCTTGCTGCCCAACAAATGCATTTATGTGCCACCTGCTCTTCGAGTGGCAATCTTGGTAGACTAATCCCCCAAACTTTGTGTAACTCTCTGCATTGTCCTTCCTCCCATGCCAACCCCCAACCCCCTCTATTCTCAGTTGTCTACTTCTGCTGTTCTTTGCAGTTTTCCTTTGCTTTTCTCCAGAAACCACTCAAATAAAGTATAAACAGGAAGTTCTACCTTATCCCGCAGATTGTCAAAATCGAATTAGAGGCACTTGGGTGTTGAATCAGTATCCCAGATATCTGCAACTGAAGACTGTGTNTCTACCTTATCCCGCAGATTGTCAAAATCGAATTAGAGGCACTTGGGTGTTGAATCAGTATCCCAGATATCTGCAATTGAAGACTGTGTTCCCACTTCAGCACGTTACCTGTGGAGAACACCACCCTCTAGGATCACCCCAGGGCCCAGCTTCTCTGTACCTGCCAGACGCCGGGGGAGGACTGATGCTGAAGGGATGCTCAGCAGACAGAGCTCAGGGAAGTGTCACCACACTCAGCAGTAGCCTCCTGACATCAGCCCCACCAGAGCTGTCCTTGTCGAGCTGACTCCTACGCAAGCCTCATGCACACATCTGGACCCTCAGCAACGCCCTCGCCTTTGCAGAGGGCTGAATTTAGTCCTTTATGCCTGTGACTTCGCTGCTCTATAACAATGCTGCATAATCTAGAGAAAGAATGTCTTCACGTCAGTATCTGTATGGTTTCCTCGGCTATCCCCCAACTAAGGAATTCTCCAACCCTCCCCAGTGCTGGACTCCTCAGCTGCCACATGGAAACGAGACTGGAGCTGCATTTGCAAAGCCTCCTGGTTGTTTTGCAGGGTCAGAGGTCTGCGAAAGTTACTCTCCTTGTTATTCTGGAATGTACACCCCCGAAACAAAGCCAAAGTCAGGGACAGCCCAGTGTGCACAATGCATCCATGAATTTTCTTAAAGGTTTGCTACGAAAGTATTTAAAATATCATTCCTATACGATGTTTCCCTTTAAAGGGGAAACTAAAGTTTCAAACAGAAAGGAATCATAAGACAACACAAAACCCTAAGTAAAATGAAAGCATTTGCAGAGTTCTTACCTTAGCTCATAGGAGGAAGTGCCCACTACATGCACTGGATGTATTATTAACACATATGTTCTGCAGTCCATAATATTTAATCACAAACATGTGTAGTATTTAGTTCAGCTCTGTGACAGGAAATACCATGTGTAAAATATTAAACCACAGCAAAACCTATCCATGCCTTCAAACATCATCTGTGCGGCTTCTAGCTGAGCTCCCCAACCCCACTCCTCCCCTCTTAACCTCCACTTTTCCAAGACGAATTTGGTTCCCAGCTATTATTTTAACCTTGTTTTAATAATCTGTTCATTTCCTAAATTTAGAGGGTAGTGTGAACAGATACCAACTCAAACAGGCTAGTCCCAGGAGACGGTCTTTACATGAACAAAGAAAAGATTTAGGGCTAGACAGGGATTCTGACTTCAGAATCTTACTCTTCTCACCATGACAGTTTTTATTTTATTTTTTCAGCAAAGCAAGTAAGAACTTACTGGCCGCAGCAAAAGCCCACTTAGGTGGGGCATTTATTAGCGCTGGGGACAGTGAAACAAGGAAGGGTTTAGCACAGAAGCAGCAACAGGAGAGCCTGGGCTGGGCTGCTCTGGCTTACTGGGAAGTCAGGAAAAGGGGGCCTTAGACACAGGTTCAGGAGGTTAGCCCAGGACCAGCTGCCGCTGCCCACTTCTCCCCTGGCTGCAAGTCTTAGGGGTCCCTTGGAGCTTGGGGGATGTGTGCCTGTTGGGGAAGGAGAGGCGGAAGGGACTGGCATGGCCAAGCTCCCCAGAGGGAGAGCATGCCAACATGACAGTTTAATGGAGTATCCATACCAGGTTCATGTCACTGTCACAGATGCTATGGAAATTTGTTAAATAGAGGACACTAGACCTCAGTTTCTTCCTCTGTAAAATGGTGACAATATTTGCCTCAGATGTAAATTGCCTCATAATAGGTACTCAATAGATAGTTCTCCTTCCTCTTTCTCTCCCTTCTGTTTCCCCTCTCCCACTCTAGCCTTCCTTTCTCTTGCCAGCAAGAAAGTAAATAGCTCAGATTCTGGAGTCTGCTTTGGCATCAGGTCAACTTGTTACAAATCCTTTTCTAGAACTGTCTCCATACCGCCTGGCATGTGACCACGACTCTGCCCTGCCCTCCAGATGTGATCTGTGCCTGGGTCCCTGCTCAGGGCTTCTTGAAGACGGCATCTCCCAAAGGGGAGAGAATAGTGTGGGAAAAAGACCCAGGGTCAAAGGCATTTGAGAAATTCTGGTTAAACAAGTGTTTATGGGTCTCTTCATGGCAATCCTTCCCAAAGCCTGTAGGATGCTAATGTCTTCATGGGCCCCAGGAGGGAGAACAGGCAGCTTTCCTTACAGAAAAGACCCAGATGGCGTGTGCCTCGGAACATTCCGGAACATGCTAGTCTAAGCTAACGTGCCTGGGGCTAGAGAACACACAGCTCACCTTTAACTCTGGTCTCTGGGCCTCCTCATTCTGCCGCTGGCTGCCCTGCCCTGACCATGAGGACTGGCTCCTTGGTTTAGCGGAGTCTCAGCTTCGCTCTCAAGACAAGCAGCAGCCAGAGGCCTTCTCCCCGGGACACCAGCAGTCCTCAAGGGGGACATGCCCCCTTTGGTTTCCCACACAGGGGACCAAAGGGCTTTCAGATAGGCCATGGCTGGAATGAACTCTTGCCTTTGACCTCCAAACACGTGAGGGCTTCGCTGCCCAGGGCATCCTCCAGGCACTGAGGGCATCTGGAAGCTCCCTTCCCGTTCACCAGACTGTCAGCACCCCCTCCCACTTCCTCATCTATAAAGCAAAGACAAATAACACCCACTTCTGCCCGGCCAGCGTGGCTCAGCGGCTGAGCACTGACCTATGATCGGGGAGATCGAGGTTTGATTCCAGGTCAGGGCACACGCCCGGTTTCGGGCTCGATCCCCAGCAGGGGGCGTGCAGGAGGCAGCCGATCAACGACTCTCTCATCATTGATGTTTCTCTCTCTCTCCCTCTCCCTTTCTCTCTCTGAAATTAATAAAAATAATAATAATACCTACTTCCTAAGGGTCAAATACATTAATGCAAATTAATAGTAAAATGCTATATGGTAGGCACTCAAAAAAAAATGGTAGCACAGTGCTCACAAGCAAGGGGTTCTTGAATCTGCATTGATAATATTTAATCATTGCTACAAGCCTGGCGGGAGGGGGGAGAACAGGCTGGGCTACACCTGCAGGGCACGGTGGTGAGTCCTGGGGTGTCTGTCCGACCCTGATTGTTCTCTCATTCTCCAGCAAGAGAAAATCAAGGTGCAAGCCCTGTGTGTGCTGAATTGAGTGTGAAATGAAAGGCATTACTCAATCAAGCAAGTCAGCACAGCACCTGGAGATGTCAAAATAACCAGAAAAGCAGCCAGATCAGAAGTAATGTAATCCCTTTCTACATGTGGCTGAAAGGTGAAAGCCTGAAAAGCTGGGACCGTGCTTGTCACCCACAACCCTGACTCAGCATCACTCTATACCACTGGTTCTCAACTGGAGTGATTTCACTCCCAGGAGACATCTGGCAGAGTCCGAAGACAGTTTTAGTTGTCACAACTGGGGGTAGGGAGTGCTACTGGCATCTAGTGGGTAGAGGCCAGGGATGCCACTGAACATCCTACAATGCACGAGACAGTCCCCATAACAAAGAATTATTCAGCCCAAAATATCTCTAGCACTGAGGAGAGAAATCCTGCTCTCTGGTGAGGTCAGTGAGCTGAGTGTGCCAAGCAGGGTGTCTACCCATCTGCATGTGCCTACTTTGTAGACCGTGAATCGGAGACACAAGTTTGCCTGAGGTGGCACGCCCAGAAAAAGGTGCTGTCAGAATTGAACCTGTCTCAGCCCAAATCTCATGTTCTTCCTGCTAAACCACAATGACTGCCAGGGTGAGAATTAGAGAACAGGAGAGAGCACAGATAAAGGGATATTTTAAAAGATGATTTGACAGGGTGTGGAAACCAAAAGTGATCTAGAAAACATGGGGAAAAGGGAGTCTGGCACTTAGAAAAGTGGAGACTCATAGGAGAGGCAGGAAGAGGGGCAGGTGAGTCACAGGTGGTCAGGTCTGAGGTCCATCCCAGTGAAAATACCTAGCAAGGAGCTAAACCACGAGACTGTACCTGGAGAGAAAACCAGAGGCTACACATGTAGAGCTGGGAGTCTTTCTCAGCTAGGGGAGAGCTGAATACAAGGAGAGAATGACAGGCCACAGGGCACCCAAAGCTAGGACCCTGTCATTTTACAGGAGGGGGAAAGAAAGAAGGTAATTCATACGGAAAGGCCAAGGGGAAACCAGGAGGCACAGGGAGCCCCAAGGCAGGAAGGAGTGTTTTTATGGGTCCTTGAAGAGCTGGAAAGGGTGGAGACAATACAGTTCATCTCTGGGTTGAGTGATTAGGTGAACAGTGACAGGGTTGGGGGCAACTTGAGCAGAGGGTGGGGATGAGGCATGGCTGCCAGTCTGGAAGCAGAGGAAGCAGGGATGCTGGGGCCCACAGAGAGACGTGGGGCTCAGCTGTCCACATCTTGGCAACTCCATCCCTACCCCCCAGTTCCTGGGTTTCTGCTGCTCTGGGGCTGTGTCGTTTCCCGGTGGACTGGTTTCTGGCAGCCCTAGGAACAGCCTGCCTCTTTGTACCCTACCTACCTTCTGGTCCTAGGAGCACAAAAGGGCCCCAGGGCTTCCCACTCTCCGAAAAATCCAGCCCACCCCCCACGGAGGGGTGAGGGAAGGGGGCAGACAAGTGAGCCTTCTGCAGGCTGAGGGCCTACAAACAAGGCCTGCTTTCAGGGCTGCCTTCTGGTATTTGTATTCCCGTGGGTTCTCCAGTGGGAAGGGCAAGACGCTCGAGACAGAAATGAGAAAGGGCATTATCTCCTTAGGGGCCCCCAGGGCTGGGCTGGGGTGTGGGGCCCTGTGGTTATTAGATGGCAGCTCCTGGATTTTGGTTCTGAATTCTCAGAGGAAACTATGAGAAAGATGTGGGACAGTTAGCTGAAGGGGTTTGGCTCAAATCACACATTTTAAATATGCAAATCTCCTCCTTCCCTCTTCCCCCAGGTCTAGGGTCCTCCTGAAGATAAGTAGAAAGTCTTAGAAGGCTAAAGAACTAGAAAGAGGATCTCTCTCTGGATTTAAATGTTTAGTGAGGGGAAACCAAAATTGGCCACTTTACTATGAAAATTGGTCAAGTAATTTATCTTAATTACCGTGTAATTACTTTTAGTGTTTTGAGAGGAGGCAGAAGCTAAATGGCCCAGAAAGAATATTTAACACTTTAAAATGTGATTCCTGCCCGGTCGGGAGTGGCTCAGCAGTTGAGCACTGACCTAGGATCCAGGCGATCCGGGTTCGATTCCCGGTCAGGGCACATGCCTGGGTTTCGGGCTTGATCCCCAGGAGGCAGCCAATCAATGACTCTCTCATCATTGATGTTTCTCTCTCTCCCTCTCCTTTCCTCTCTCTGAAATCAATAAAGATATATTAAAAAAAAAAAAAAAAGACTGTAAAATGTGATTCCCACCCACACGCTAATGGTGCTGCTTCAGAATGGAATGGTCTGCATGAGAAGTTAAGGACCAACATCTGCCAGGAAGTACCCCAGGATCTACCTTCACCTTATATGTTGGGCTTTGGGGAATGTCTTCCAAATGTTCTGGTACAAACTCTTGTATTACACACCTGCTGCTCATTCGTTCAGCAAATAGTTGCATTGTCTCCTATGTGCTGGGTCCTGAGTGGAGCACCATTCAGACCACAGAAACAAGATCTGATCCACTGGCCGTGTGGCGGGGGAAGAAGGGTTGAGAAGTTAGACTATGTGTAAATCCCAGCCCTGCCACCAACTAACTGAGCAACATGGGCAAGTTACTTTTAATCCCACAAGCCTCAGTTTCCTCATGTGTGAAACAAGGACAATAGTTAACTTTTAGGGTTTGCTACGGGCTGGATTGTGTACTCCCAAAATTCAGCCCTAACGCGCAGTGCCTCAGCAAGTGACTGTATTTAGAGGTAGGGCCTCTAAAGAGCTATTTAAGTTAAAATGAGGCGATTAGCCCTGGCCAGTGGCTCAGTTGGCTCAGCACTGT